ACAGGAAAAAAAACATTATTTTATTGCATACATTAAAACAAATGCTTTCACTGATACATTTTCAATATAATTTCTAAAGTAAGTTTTAAGCTTAGCATATTTTATATAAACTATGCAATTAAAAAACAAGTTAATACAGTAATAACTGGGGCTTAAATTCTTTAAAAAGATTAATGTTGCTCCAACATTGTTGTTTTAATTCAAATAAAGCATTGATAATTCAAAGAATTAAATAATGCAACATTCACATGGTATATGAAGAATGCAACTTCAACAATTAACACAAACTAATAATTAAAACATTAGCAGGAATAATTCAGTATTATATGCATGTATAATATATACACAATTGTAATGATACCATCAGAGAAATCCATATTATTAAAAAAAAACTGCCGCATCCTAATCTTCACATGGCAATAATTTCAAACTGATATTATTAATCTCATTTCCTTGAATAATATCCATACTCTAGGGTCATTTTCCTTCTCATATTCAATATTGTGCATGCTTGTATCAAGATTCCTTTCTTCATATCCTGTCACAGTATCAATCACTGCCTCCTGTCCACTCAATCCACATTTGATTTATCAGCCACCGTCTTTCTGGACTCCATAACTCGACCCAAACCATTTTAACAAGACATTGACAAATAGCACTCAGTATCACATCAACCTGTTCCACTTAGTAAACTAAGAAACACTAACTGTGACATCTCCACATAAGTATTCTATTCCATTCCCCAGACTGATGTATATTAATGAGGAGATGGCATTTGAAATGCTTCTTCCACATCAGCATCTAATATGATCAAATTAGGAAATAGGATGATTTATTAAATTTTGTAGAGCTGAAATATTTCTTTATATCACTATATCTGTGGTTTCAGAAAGTGAGCTGTTGCTTTCAATTTTTCTGCTGACAATGTGCCTGTATTTCACAGATGAATTATTGTGTTTAAAAAGATTGCAAAACAACAAAACATTATTAAGCAAATGCTCAGTAAAACAAACTAAATCTATTTTAAAATTACTAATTTAATGTAAATGTGGTTGTTCTGCTGAAATTTAGTTTGTGATCTTACATCATTTGCACTGCACTGAAAGACAATTGTAAATATATAGTATTACTAGAGAACCTCAATTCTTGATTCAGATTGAATTTAAAATAGAATAACTGCAGTAAAAACATTCATCTTTGGATGAAAGAATAAATGAAAAAATAGTTAAAGCACAGAAGATAATAATTAAGAGTTTTCAGTTTGAAAATGATTTACTGGCCTAACACTTTGTGGAGTTAACTAGTCTTCATTTATAATTCTAATTTCTGTAAGAAAAATGTGATAATATGGATACATAGCTCCTTAAAAACATATCATATGAAAGAACTTGTGATTTTTAATCTGGAGTCAAAATTCTTGAGTCAAAAGACCTAAATACATGTCAGTGATGTGGCATTTTCATGTAAGTAAGCAAAGTACAGGTGTTAAATCCACATGGCATTCTGTACTCAAACAAATAAACCGTTATCTGGCCAAATCTGTTAAGATAATGGCTAGCTTCCTACATATGTGGAACCACAAATTGCCCACCTCAAATTTAGCCAATTCTATCCTGTTGTGAGAACATAGATAGGATACAGAATTCATTTTTTTTCTTTAAATATGAAATTCCCTCCTCTCAGAAGTAAAACCCCATCTAGAAAAGTAGCCCAAGCTACTTTTGGGGGGAGGGGGGAGAATGAGATAGCTTATTTTAAACAGATCTTGATGACTAAATTTGAACTGGGAAAATTTATTTTTTAAATTAGGGAAGCCTTAGGAATATGACAGGCTGTAAGTAAAATAACATACTTCTCATCAGAAAAGGCTTTTCAGTGAACACCCCAATTGTTCTCTCACTGTCTGAATCTCTTAAATTTTCCATGGCTAGAATTCAGATAAAGCTGGGTATTTAATACTTCATGTTAATCAATGGACCCAGCCATTTATATAGTCTGAATGTAAGAACTGGAAGACAAATTATCCAATATAAAACTCAATAGCACACAAAGAACCAAAAAAGAAAACTATAAACATAGCAATGTGTGCACCATATGACTATTTTGATGAATTTATAATTTATTTTGCTTTTATAAAGTTAGGTCTTTGTTCGAACAAATGAGTTAAAACGTATTTTTCAAAGGGAAAACAATATAAAAACTGACATGGAAAACAGCAAATGGACAAGATAAAGTATCTGCTGAAAATATACACCAATCTGGTAAACAACTGCTTTAAACTACTCATCTACAGATAGGGTTTGTTCCACATCAGCAAAAATGTTACTGATATTTATTATGTATTGGTTAATGCTTATTCTGAAAAAAACTGTTTATTAACTCATTCAACCAGCTTATATGCCACTATTCATAGTCCAAAGATGCACATGCAATCTCATAGATAAAATTAACTGCAGCTATGAGTAAGAAAGGGTTTTTTTCCTGACATCTCATCAAAAATGTACTTCAGTGTAATTTAAGCCCATTGTTTCTTGTCCTCTCTGCTAGAACTCCCAACAATTCTGCCTCCTATTTACAAACAGCCCATCAGCTACCTGAAGAACTATCATGTCTCTCCAGTCTTTTCTTCTCCAAGATCTTCAATCAGCTCTTCCCTAATGATTAGTATCACATCTAGGAGAGCCAATCGCCTTGTCTCTCCTTGAACCTTTTGGACAATGAAACAATTTGTGAGACCAGAGAGGAATTTCTGGGACCTTGCAGTCCTAGCTGAGTTGGTTTTCCAACAGATAGCAAAATAATAAAAATCTCCCATTATTACTGTTTCTCTCATTAAAAGTTCTGTTATCCAGAGCATTATCCAGAGTCCCTTTGGTTAATTTTTTTGCCGTTTGGATTATTGGGGTTTTCTTTCATCTTCTAGCTGTTATCTTCTTTTTTACATACTTTGTTTTCTTTTAATTTTTATGTGTTAAGCTGCCCAGAGTCACTACAGAGTCAGGCAGCCTCAAAATTATCTCCTTCCTTTTTGTCTGGTCTATTGATTTTGATTAAGTTGTATCCCTCAATTCTTGTACTCCACTCATGAATTTTGTCCTATCAATAATGTTTGCTAAGTCATATTTGCCTTCCTGCATTAAGACTTGTAGTTCTTCCTATTTTCCCCACACTCTTTACATACAAAGAAAAAACCTTGAGCTATGTATCTTGGCTTTTTCCTGTATTTGTGTTCACTCCCAGTCTTGTTCCCAGTTCTTGGTATTGTACTATTTTCCAAGCATTCTTCTTCCTCCCCCACAACATTCAGTTTAAAGCCCTCTAGTTCAGGCTTACAAAGCACCTTTTAAACATTCTTCCCAGTTCTCATGAGTGCTTCTCTTGCCAGGAGCCACTCATCTCATAAACAAGACTCATTATCAAAGATGCACCTTTGAAGAAGGTGCTTCAGGACATGCTGGAGGACATACAAAGTACATTTCTGAAGGATTTGCATACGCCTAATAATAGATACACAGGTATAAGAAAACTGCTTCTCTTTAATGCTACTGCTGAATTACAGTACATGTATTAACACTACAAACATATGGTGGTCCAATCATCTGCATCCTTCAGAAGGGCATTTGGGGAAATTTGATGTTTTGCTACCCTCAAATGGTGAGGCATCATGGTTTCATTTGCTAAGTTCTTGAAATAATTTTTTGTGTTGTTATTTAAAAGCTGATCCGAGTCTTTGGAAATTGAGTAGCATACAAGCAAAAAATATATACCATAAATCCTTCCTGCCCAATTCATCCCATTCACATTTCAATGCCTCAAGAGAGACCACACCCTAGGAAAATAGCTACCATATACAGTCATGGGTATGAATGAAGAGGTCTGCAACTGTTGCAATCATTGGAATTCCTGATTAGCCCATAAGTTTAGATTTTTATCTAATTTATCCAATTTATGCCCATAAAAGCATTCTTTAAAATCTGCTTGTAAGACTGAATGCACTCTACCTTGATTTTATTTCTCCTCCATAAAACTGTAGATAAGCTTTTAGTAAGCAGTATATTTAATTCTTGAATACAAAAACTGGATCTCACCAATCTTATGATACAAAATATCCTCAGACATTTTGCATTGTTCACAATCAGTACACCCTTGCAGCAAATGGTTCCTCCTGCAATTTTCATGATTAATACTAAAAATAATCTCTGTTTTGTGTAACATGTACCTACTCTCTTTGAATTGCCACAAAAATAAAACATTAAATCTCTGAACACTGTATAAAAATGCATATTTTCTAAATAAAGCCTTCTATTCGTATATAACATTAGCCATTCTTTTGAAATAATTATAATACAAAAAAGACCATAATTCTGCAGAATGTCAATAATGTTTCTGATTTAGGCAATTTATACAGCCACAGAAACCCTAGTTCATAAGATTATAAAGATTTCATAATTTCATCTTTCATACAAATTACTTGGTACCATTATTTTAATATATTTATTGTGGATTTCAGGCTCACAAAATATTTGCAGTTCCATAACTTTATTCATATCACACAAAACTCCAAAGGTTATTTTTTTTAATGAAAATTACTTATGAATACTGGTAAGTACTTTTTACTTTTATCCTGAGCATAATATTCAAATAAGCGCATATACTAATAGTTAATAACCTGCAACATAATGATTACTTGTTAACTTGGTATCATCTACATACGCTAACACCATGTGCTTTATATAATAGATGTCATAACCAGACTGGTCTTATATCAAGTCTATACATTACAAGATTTTAATCAGTTATAACACAAAGGAACTCTAAGTTAAACTAAAATATAAAAAGTATACAGAAGTCAAAGTACTTCAACCTTTCGTGGTGACCTTTATTATCTTGAAGTTAACATAAAATCACCAATTACTGTATCATGGATATTAAGACTAGAGAATGCAAAGTGAAAAACATGTCATCTGGTCAATCATTCTCCCAGGGCAAAACTGTCATACCTTCTTGTTCTGCTTTTTGATCTTGATCTCTGAGGCCGATATGATTTTCCTTGTGCTCTTGATCGGCTCCGGCTCCGTTTTCTCTTGGACCCATATGAAGAACTGCTGCTAGATCGATGCCTTCGCCTCAAATAGATATCAAAAGAAAACTCACTTACAATGAATCATATATATATATATATATTTTGCATAGCCAACTAAGCTAGTCATTATAGTAAATGTGGTAAAAAAAAACATATGCACAAAGATATACATAGATAAAATAAGCAAAAATATTCATTAAAACTTCTTTCCTAGGCTAAATCCAAGCTATCAGAATATACGGGTTCCAGAAGAAAAGCTTGTTTGTTATTTTGAGATCTCTGAACTGTCTATTATAGGTACTGCCCTAATTTGGATTTTGGACTACATATCCCCAAAAACTTACTGAAAATCTTCATAAGCCTTTCTTCTCCCCTGGCAATATTTACCAGTACAGGCAGTTTACCAGTACCAGTTCCTGCTCTGGAGCAGTCTGAAATAGGTCCAAATAATCTACATTTTAGATTGCCTGCAACCAAGAAGCCACACACAAGGTTAAAATTTTTCCTAATAATGTCATTTTCTAGGGATCTAGCACTGGGTTCTTAAAAAGAGGCGTAATAATTGTCTTCAAATCAGGAGTCATCCTACTATCCCTGATTAGGTATTTATAATATTAACTGAAGCTGTTTTTAACTTCTGGGCTCAAGGTTTCAAGCTAAACTGGGCAGGAGTAAAAGAATGTACTACCTTAATCAGCTTCTCTCTATTCTTGAGTGTTACACACTGAAAAGTAACCTAATCTAACCACTCAAAATTATCAGTGCTGGCATCCAGAATTGCAAAACCTTAGTAGAAGCACCACAACAAAACCACTGAAAATTTTGTGATAATCTCCAAAGGAAGCAGCAGGGATATAAGTATGCCCCCTCACAACTTGACTCAGCAAAGCAAGCCATGAACTTTGCAAATGCCATGTGTAGAAAAACAGCTACTTTGGTGTACATATCAACAGAGCAAAAGTGAGCATCATATGATACTTTTTCTTATTTTTCACATATTATGACCTGTGTTTAATTATTTTATTGCATAAAATTAACATATAAAACTACTTACAAGTAAAACAAAAACAAATGTAAGATTTTTACTTCAGTGCATCTCAGGCTTGAAGGATATGTCTAATCTATCAAGTATATCAATCCTTGTTATATCTCAAGAAATATATATTTGAAACTCATATAACATATTCTACAATAACTATGTAGGGATGTAGCACTGTCTGCATTGTAGTTAATCATGAAGTCCTACAGCAGATTCCTCAGCTGCCAGTCTTGGATGCCCTAGAATTGCCTCTCTCTACTGATGAGATCAAGTAAGCGATCTCACAGATGAACTCAAATAAAGCAACAGGACAGGATGGCATTCCTGCTGAGATCTACAAAGCACTAGACCCAAAGGTCTTACAGGGTTCCGAGACATCTTGAAAGACATTAGGTCCACAGAACAGATGCCTGACAACTTCCGCAATGTCCTCATTGTGGCTCTCTAAAATAATAAGGGAAGCAAATCAGACTGCGGAAACTACAGGGGTATCTCACTGCTGTCCATTGCAGGCAAGATCCTTGCCCACATTCTCCTGAACAGACTTGTCATTATCTCGAAAAGCAACCTCCCAGAGGCGCAGTGTGGCTTCCAGCCAGAACAGAGTACAACAGACATGATATTTGCCATGAGGCAAGTCCAGGAGAAGTGCATCGAGCAGAACAAGCCTCTTTACTCTGTCTTCATTGACCTGACAAAGGCATTTGACACTGTAAAGAGAGAGGCTCTCTGGATCATCCTGAGACGTTATGGATGCCTGAGGAAATTTGTGAAGATGATTCAGCTACTTCATGACAGAATGACAGGGCAGGTTCTTTACAACAGTGATACATCAGCTGCATTTACCATTTCCAGTGGGGTAAAACAGGGTTGTGTGCTAGCTCCAGTCCTGTTCAATCTGTTCTCCATTTGCACATTGTCACGTGCTGTCCAGGGTCTGAAGGAGGGAGTATACATCAGGTATTCACTGGACGGCTCTTTGACCTTCACTGCTTGAACACATGAACGAAGTGCCTCCATACAGTCATCCAAGAAACCCTTTTTGCTGATGATTGTGCACTCCTGGCACACAAAGACAATGATGTATAGTTGATGCTGAACAAATTCTCAAATGCTGCTATGCTCTTTGGCCTATCAGCCTGAACAAGACTGAAGGACTTTACCAGCCAAATACAAACCCTGCAGAACCAAGGATCACTGTTGATGACACCCAGCTGACAAATGTAAACAGTTTCAAATACGTAGGAAGCATCATCTTGAGCAATGCGTCTTTGGACAAAGAAATTGACTCCAGGATCAGCAAGGCCAGCCAGACACTGGGGTGGCTGCATACTAGAGTGTTCAATCAACGCAACATCCATATCTCCACAAAGCTGAAAGTCTACAGAACTAAAGCTATATTTTCTCTCCTATATGGAAGTGAGTCCTAGACTCTGTACCGAAGGCACATCAAACAACTGGAGAAATTTCACATGTGCACTCTCCGCTCCATCCTTGGCATTTGTTGGCAAGACTGTATCTCCAACCTGGAGGTCTTGGATCACATGGAGTCCACCAGCATTGAGTCCCTGATTATCAGAGCCCAGATGCGGTGGTGGCACACGTCATCAGAATGGATGAACACTGAATACCTCGCCAGTTGCTCTATAGTGTACTGGAGTCTGGGAAGAGACCTCAAGGTCAACCATGCAAGCACCACAAAGATGCTGTGAAAGAAACCCTATGCCACTATGACATCCAGCCAAGAGAACTAGAAGCTGCAGCTTCTGACAGAACCCACTGGCAAGTCCTGTGCTATGAAGCCTCTACCAGCTTTGAAGACAGGCCCCACCAAAAACTGATAGAAAGCCATGAGTGGCATCACAAAATAACACACAGTTACTACAACAATGCGCTTCCAGTGCCCCCATTGTGCTAGGCTGCGCTTCCAGACTGGGACTGCAGAGCCACCTCAGTATCCACAGATGAACTGCACAACAGTGTGTCTTCTTCGAACCCGAAGGACTACCATGTATAGTTGTCTTTTAGCTTACTGGCAATAAAATGCTACTAATAACAAAATTTTCCAATTGCACATGGGCTTCTATGAAAAAATCCCACACATTTCATGAGTGTCAGATATTTTTGGCAAAGAAAAAAAAACACTTGAGGGCTACATTAAAAAGTTTAATAATAGCTGTAAAACTTTGTAGTGAAATCTTTCCTCCCAGTTTAAAAACTTAGATCTAATGAAAAGTGAATCAATAAAGACTATATAGATTTAAGCTCATTTCACTTCATAACATAAAACTGTATTCTCCACTGTGACTTATACTACTTTCATCAGTGCTTCACAAGGAGAATATAATAATAATATAACTCACAGTCCAGTTAGTTTACAGCATGGATCCTTGTTCCTCCAAAGAACAATTTACATTTATCTACATAAAAATGAACTTCAGAATGCAGAACAATGTAACTAAGTCAGGGTGTACATGTACAAATACTTGCCCACTCCTACAACATCAGAGCTGCCACAGAAGGAAAGATGGTTGCTATTGCAAGCATATTTGTAGACTTTTGATAAAATCTGAAGCAATGGAAGTTGTGTAGTAATGACCAAAAAAAAGTTTTTATTTTCTGTGGAAAGAATACTAAGAAAAACTGGAAATAATATGCAGCATCCATCCATCCATCCATCCATCCAT